CAACAATGCTATCTTTTTAGTATTTATTAGTATATTCTTTTTTCATTTCAAATAGTCACCACTTCTATCCATAGAAATGGTTCATTTTAACTTGTTCATGTAAATGATCCTTTTCGAACAAAAATTTGGATAAACATTTAAGAGAAATGGTCAACAAACTCACACTGTTTGGCTACATTGTAGTGTATGCGGTTCGGTCATAAATCAATTAATAATTACTTTTAAAATCTTTCCTTACCAAAAGAAAATCTATATATATTATTATTTTTTGTCATCTTTGTTATTCTACTTTTAATGGTTAAATGCATTGTATTAATCTTTGTCTTACTTGTAAAAAAAACATGTTAATGTTATATATGTAAACGTCAAAATAATTTATATTCTACTCATCTGTACTGATCTCTGTGTTTCATGCTTATTCATCAATAAACAATTATACTAAAAATTCGACAGTGACGATTTTTGGGGGTAAAAAATATTATAAAAAGCTAGGGCAAACCCTTGTGTCCCGACTGTTTTTATCGTGCTCCGTATTAAGCTATGCGAATGTCGTGATCGTCTTTGTCGAAGTTTTTATGTGTTAACTCGTGAACTAAAATTTGAACTTGTGTTGCTTTATTTATCATTTTTACTAATATCATCACTAAGGATATTATAAGAACCAGAGAATTTACCAGGTAAGATTTTTTTAAATCCGTAAGAAAATTTACATTGTTATTTTATGACCCTCGAATTACACCCCGAATCAAAGTAACTCTCACTCACATTTTTTTAATTTCCAACAACAATAATATTCTGACTTTTTCTTTTACTCATATATTTATATATTTTTTATTAATTTTTTGAGTTACTATAAAGTGGACTGTATAAATACGATTACTTTTAATTATTTATTTAGTAAGAAACTAGATAAAACTTAACACTTTTCGCTTTGTTTATAATACTTTATTTTGCATACAAATGTTGGCGTGCGCGTCGTGCCGTCCTTTTCGATGACGAGTTCATTGTCCGACTACGATAAAAAATACAATAAAAGAAACCGATACGCGGCGTGTAAACGCGTTTATCTCATACAATAATAAAATACATACAAAAGAAAAAATGGATCAAACAGTATTACCTTTCAATTAAAAAAATAAAAAATGTAGTGAAATGTCACATGATCACTTATAACACGAGAATATATTATGATGTCATCATTTATACATGTATGTTACATAAATTTGAAAACACTAATTTTTTTTTATTTATGCAAAGCTATAGCAAGTATTTGACAATTTTTAATGTACGGGTCCTTTAAAAATGCTTTCCAATATTTACCGAAAAGTTTAAGAAGCAAAGAATAATTAGTGAAGAGTAAAAAAAAGTCATTGCGGTTGGGTTGGTAATTTTTTAAAAACTGCATCTGCCTTTGATTTAGCATTCATTAGCTGATCTAATATAAAAATTTACATCAAAAGATTTTTAAAAATTTTACCTGAAAAATTATCTAATTAATTTAATATTTGGATCGGGTTCGATAAAATATATGGAATATTTAATTCGATCTCAAATTCTTTTTGTATATTTTTAAATATATGATATAAATGATATTAATCAACAATGACCCTAGAGATAATTTTTTAGGGGGTATCGACAAAACTTTATTTCTAATTCTTCGTAATAAAATTACCAACAAGTTACCTGAATGAGTAAAAAGTAACATGATATATTCTAAAAATACCGACTATAAATGAGTAATAAACATTGAGAGATGTGACATCCCCGCATATCCTATAAAATAGCTTCTGATATAAAAAAAAATGACCCTTATTAAATCCTGGTTAAACTGTATGATTTTATCTGTTGTGTTATCATAATTGAGACTCTTATGATCTTAAGCTTAATTCCTTATTTTTTTTTGAGTTACTTTTTATATCGGGGTCAGTTTTCCGAGAGTTTTTTTTCTTTACTAAAACGATTCCAAATAAACGAAATATCACCAAAAATATTTGTATGTGTAAATTTTAATTTACCAAGAATCCAGAGCAATCGCCAACCGTAAAATAACAGCTCAAACGAAATCTGCTCTATATGGATTCAATTTTACCAAAAGTACTTTTAACTTTATTCCTTA